GGTACACGTACCCCGATTTGGCAATTTGAACGCGATGATCGGAGAGACTTCCGGAGACTTCCGGTTGGGCTTCAGGCGTCCAGCTTGACTTGGGTTCAAACTTCAAACTTCAGGTACCGTTCGACTTCTGCAGGAAAACAAGGAACGCGTTAGAAGATTTCTCAGAAGCACGTCAAACGGCGGAAAACGAACGATTCAGAAATTACCGTCTCCGTGTAGGAATGTCGGAGGATGGTCGCACCTTGAATCAGCATCTTAAGCCCGTTGAAAGAAATTTGGAGCTGAAGCTCTTTCCGAGACGAGCTTGGAGCGAAGACGCGACTCGCATCCGGAGCTCGGGCCAACGGCGATGGTGACAATCCGAAGCTCACTTGGGCTTGAGGTTGGGCTCATCACTTGGGCTTCAGGTTGGGCTTGAGTGAGCTTGAAGCGCCAGCGACGGTAGATCCGGTTTTGAAGTGCGACCAGAAACGGATAAGGAGGTCGTCTGCAGAAAAACGAAGAGCGAGTTAAAAGGTGAAAAGGATGAAAAAAGAAGTCGAACTATTTTTTGCGGATCTGGAAAAACAAAAATATATAGTCCTTACCTCCACTCGATAGTCATTGTGTTGGAAGACTTTGCAGGTGGAGCTTGAAGATATCGGATCTTCACACCGAAGATGTCGCCGGTCCGGAGCTTGAAGCATCCCGCCATTGAAGTGCAACCCGCGTTTGAAGCGTCTTCCCACTCGACCGTCTCCGTGTTGGTGACGGGGAAGAGACCGCAGCGACTTCATTTGGAGGCAGCGACGGGGGTGGCCGCGAAGCTCTCTTCGCCGTATTGTAGATCTTAACGGCGACACTTCATGTCTCGCCAAGACGGTCGCCACGAGGTCTGCGGGAAGAAAGTAACATGTTAGTAACTGAACAATGTTTAAAAGCTCAAGAACTTAACTGACAAGAAGAAGTCTAAAAACGCTGCACTTACCTCACTCGATTGGTGGAGACCGCCGGGGAGCGACAGGGAAGGCCGACAACAGCATCTTGAAGCTGAAGCATTTGAAGCTGAAGCTCTGGCCGAGACGAGCTTTGAGCGGAGACCCCGTTGCGATTTTTTCGCCGTGAAAATCCTTTGCGTGAAGATATCGCAGAGATGATCCTGGCAGCGTCGGCGCTCTGATTTGTCGAGAAGATCGCGCCGTAAAACTCTCGCCGTGGAAGCTTCGTGGCGAGAAGATCTCGAAGAGAAGACTCGCCATGTAAATCTTGCGGAAAGGTTGTCGCGAAGATCTCATAGATTAGTCGCGGCGAAAAGGTTGCCGCGAAAGGTTTTCATACACGGTTCGGCCCAAGGCACTTGGCAGCTCGCTCCTCACAGGACTCTACCCACCCACCCCAAACCCGACCTCTATTCTAACTCAACGCTGCTTTATGCCATGGGCTTCTCCGTGTACTAGTAACCGGGTCGCTTCAGGTAGCATAATTTGCTCCGTGGAGCTTCTAGCCTGAAGTCTAAGCTCATTAGGTTGGAGCTTTCGAAGAATCCTTCCGTCCGTGAGTTTGAGAAGGACGAAAATGAACGACAAGGACACAATTCCGAGAGTTATGCTCAGAAAGGTAGTGGAGGTAGCTGCTGAAACAGAAGAGAGTGCCGCTGATGAATGGATGAATGAAAGTCAGCAATTCAGCCACCGCGGCGTGTCGTAGCGCGACTTCAAACCAAATGTGATGGGTCAACAATGTGTTCGAGTAATAGAAAAATACGGCATTTACCTAGGTGCAGTACGGTCGGACGGGTTGCTCTGCCAGAAAGGGAGGGAATTACTGACACCACGCTGGATGCGCGGTGCGGTAGTACATAGAGTATGTTGTGAATGGGTGGATGGTGGTGCTGTAACCACCCTCAACGGTGACGACGATTTCATCTGGTTGTGGCATGGGATGGAGGTGTGGTGGTGGCTATTGTCATTGACCAATGAAATGCCCCGCCGACCAAGCGGCAGTGGACATATCCCAATGGCGCGTGGTGAACATGTTGTGGCGGCTCAAACTGTGCCCCCGCCTCATCCATCCAGCCCAACCCAAACCATGTTGTACATTCATTGTGAACTGTTGGGTTGAACTTTGCATATTGGTTGCCATTTGTGAGTATGCAAACGAATTTTCTAAGGGCGCGTATTTTTTCTGGGGGGTTTGTTGGGTGGGCTGGTCTGCAAGGGCAGGCTCGAACTTTCTAGGAGGTGGTTGACGTGGCGCTAATTCTAGTTGGGTCAGCATGAGAGTTTTTGTTTAGTTTCGGCGTGAGTTGCGGGACGGCTTTGGTTTGGTTTGGGGAATTCGTCCGTGGCGCTGTGACTCGCTTTCATCTTACTCGGGCAGCTGGAAAACAATGGGTGGATGAGAAGAGTTTTGTGCAAACCAATGGGAATGATTTGTGTTTTTGACACCCTGGCACAACCACCACGGCAATATCAACATCCCGAACCTCGATTTTCCGAACCTGCCACACTGAATGCTTCTCAGCTGTCATTGCGCAGATGCACAATCGTGGGTCTGACTTGTTACCTTAGTTGTGTTAGGTAGTAGTTTTGCTATGTCAGACCTCAGCGCGGTAGCCGATATAAGTAGAATTCTTCGACGATGCAGCAAGTGCCGCTCACCCCTCAGTCGTACGTACGGTTAGTCGCTTCACGCGTCTATTGGCGTGCTACCAGTATTAGATATGAACAGACATCGCATTCTTGCACCCTCCAGATCTGACTTCGATTTACCTGCGTAATGAACGTATCATAACGTTTGTCGGCGGACGAGTTACTATCGTCGATTTTGTACGCATCAATAACGTAGTGCGTTTCGTCGATTAGACAGCGCGTTTCGTCTACCTCACAGCGTCGACTGTATCCTGGCGCGGGGTAAGGGAGGTGAGCGGAGGTGACGGCAATTTCCCCTTCCCCCTCCCCTTTCCGCTTTCCACTTCATAACTTCGGAGCGTCGACTGTATCTTGGACTGAGACGCGGAAAAGGAGGACGGGAGGTCAGTGGAGGTGAGTGGAGGCGAGTGGAGAGGAGAAAAAGGGGAATCGGACGGAGAGGACTGGCGGATGGGCGAAGCGGCCATTTCCCCTTTATTTTCCCCTTCCACCTCCCTCCCCTTGCCTAAAATAAGGCGCCTCAAAATTCGTCTTAAAAAATGAACATTTGAAGACACAAAGGATCGGCGAAAAGGTCACAGCCGACGCAGCCCCCTTCCCCCTTGATTCCTCTCTCCCCCTCTCCCCCTTCCCCCCCTCCTCCTCCTTCACCCGCTTCCCCTTATGACCCTATGACCTAGCCTACACTTTCACCCTACGGCGTAGCCTGGAAACGGCATTCATCTCTCCGCTTCCCAGCCCTCCCTTTGCTCCCTTGGCAGGCCTAGAAACGTCACGCATCTCTCAGCTTCCCAACTCGCTCATCCTCCCCGCTCTCCCCTCATCTTCCTCGCTTTCCCCTCATTCCCCCACTCTTCCCTCTTCTCCCCGCGCTCCCCTCATCTCCTCGCTCTCCCCTCATCTTCCCCGCTCTCCCCTCATTTTCCCCGCACTCCCGTCATTCCCCCCTCTCTCCCTTCATCCAACCAGCCCCCCCTTCACATCACTGCCGCGCCCTGTTGTTTTCTTCCTTCACGCCCACCCTCATCTCCCCTTGTCTCACTCCGTCCCCCCTCTCTCCCCATCCTCCCCCGTTCCCCGCTTTCAGACTCACCCCTCATCCCCTTCCCCCTCCCTTACCTCAACTTCCCCCCTGGTGATGACTCGTCTCCCCCTCCCCCCCGCTCCCCCATCCACCCTTCAACTCCCTCCTCTCCCCACCACCGCCCCCTCATTTCCCTCATCTCTCACACCCCCCTCCTCTCTTCCACAACCCAGCCACTCAAGCGGGTGAGTTCCGTTGCTTGTGCGACACTCCCAGGCCTGCCTTCACCGCTCCAGTTTCTGTCAGTGTGACTGCTTGCTTGTGTTTGCCACATGTCATTTACTTCGCAGCTGCCTGGTCTGGCACAGCACATGGCTGTGTGGCTGCTTGTGTTTGCAGCAGGTCATGTGACTTCACAGCTGCCTGGTCTGGCACGTGGCAGCATGTGGCGTGACTGGTTGACTTGGCAGCTACAGCAACGACTATCTGGGTTCCTGGGCTGACGCGTGGCTGCATTTGATTGGCCAGCAGCAGGCCCACCAGATTCTGCTGTACCTGTTTTGATTGTTTGAGTTATATAGCCTCTTTGTGCCTGGTTGGCCAGACCTAGTACACAGAAGTCTGAAATTTTGACAAGTCATTCTAAACCGAAATATGAAACCCTTGAAGCCACAACCATGGCCCACAGAGTGGAATGCACATGGATGGAATATTCATGGCCCATTGTTAGTTTCACAAGGCTAGAAGAGCGGTGAATGCAATCTGAAGACTACCGTATAAGAACAATCACCACCATACGATCCGTCCATCCATGTTCTAGTTGACTCAAGAAACATCCATTTCATTTCTTGGTTTGTTCTCCATCCCGCACTCCATGTTCTAGTGCGGCCAGAGCTTCGATCCTCTGATGCCGCGCTTCCAATCGCCCCCCACTGCCTCCATTATGTCATCCGAATCCCTCCACGTGAACTCCAGCTGGGATAGGGGAGAAGCGGAGATACGGTAGGAGAGTGATTGGAAGAAGCATGAGAGGAGAGAAGAACAGCACTGAGTGCTGCCAGTCACCCCCCACTGCCTCCATTATGTCGTCTGAGTCCCTCCACGTGAACTCCAACTGTTGTGACAGGGGGAGGAGAGAAGAGGTAGAGGAGAGAAGAGAGCAGGTTCGTTAAGGGGAGAGGTGCAGTTGGCACCGAGAGATGCCATTCGCCCCCCCACGGCCAACATTATGCCGTCTGACTCCCTCCACGTGAACTCCATGTGAACTGCAGCTGTTGTGACAGGCAGGGGAGACGGAGAGGAAGACGAGGGGGTTTACACATGCGAGCGACACAGGGCACTGCATGCTACCAGTCGCCGCCCACGGCCTCCATTATGTTATCTGATTCCCTCCACGTGAACTCCAGCTGTTGTGACGGGAGAGGAGAAGTGACGAGAGGGGAGAGGTGGGACATGTGGGTGGGAGTGGGAAAAGGGGGAGAAGTGGAAAAAGAGGGAGAGAAGTGGGAAGGAAGGGAGTGTGGAGTGGGGGTGGGCCAAAGTAGCGGAGTGGGGAGTGATACAAGAGCACAAGCGACGAGCCAATTGCACAATGACATAGCTGTCCCTCTGCGCCCTTTGGCCCACATGCCCTGCGCCCTGCGGCCAGACTGCGCCCTGCGGCCAGACATAGCTGTCCCTCTGCCCCTTTCCCCTCCTGCACGCTCTGGGTCATCCCTGTGCTCCTTGGGCCCATGCCCTGCTCGATTAGGAACACCCATCATCACTAGTGGTGGGTCACCTATAATGAACCCAACCTGGCCGACGTCCACCACAGCGTACCGCATTGTACCGCAGTTGCGAGCGCACCTGGCCAATGACCACAGTGTCCCCCTCCCGCACGCCCCGCGCCCTCAGTGCCTCGTTAATGCCACTCGCTTCCAACACATGGGCGAAGCGCCTCACCGCCTCAAAGTACCTGGAGCAGGGGAGAAGGGATGAAGGGAGGAGGGGGGATGCGAAGCAGGGAGGGGTTGATAAGGTGTTTCACCTCGTGTCTACCACCCTGAAATACACGTGGCCCCAGCACGTGGGGAAGAAGTCAAATCACTCCCTGTTAGTCATAGGCACACATCGCTCGATGCCCTCTCACGTCACTTGAAACACAGATGTGTGACGGCTTCACTTCTGTGGGAAGCCGCCAATCAATCAATCAATCTCTGCTCCCCCTCCCCATTCCCTCCTCCGCCCTCCCCAAACTCACTCCCAGTTGGTAATCTGCACGAATTGCTCGATCCCCTCCCCCATGACCTCGAACATGCACGTGACATAACAGAGAAGGCGACTGACATACAAATGCTGGACAGCTGTCACCATCCCCTGACCCCCAGTCCCCGTTCTCCCCACCACCCCCGTTGAACTCACTCCCAGTTGGTCATCTGCACGAATCGCTCGATGCCCTCCCCCGTGACCTCAAACACCCGCGTGTGTGGTGCTTTCACCCGTCACTTACTCCATTTCCCCAACACCCACCCACCATCCCCTGCTCCCCCCTTCCACTCACTCCCAGTTGGTCATCTGCACGAATCGCTCAATGCCCTCCCCTGTCACTTCAAACACGCGCGTGTGCCCGTCAAATGCCACCCGGAACTCGTTCACTGCCGCCCGCCTCGCTCGCTGCACCTCCGCTGCTAAGCCCAGGCGCTGGCGAGTGGTGTTGGGGGCTGGGGGGCGGAGGGTGGAAGGGAACAGGGGGGAGAGCGGCGAGGAAGAGCAGGAAGAGGGAGAAAAGTGAGGGGGACAGGGGAAACTCGTTCACAGCCGCCCGCCTCGCCCGCTGCACCTCTGCTGCTAGACCAAGGCGCTGGCGAGACGTGTTGGGGGCTGGGAGGGGGGGCGGAGAGGGGGTGAATCAAGGGGGAGAAAGGCGAGGGGGAGCAGGAAGAGGGAGAAAGGTGAGCAAGGGACGAGGGGAGCTCATCGTTCACTGCCGCCCGCCTCGCTCGCTGCACCTCTGCTGCTAGTCCCAGGCGCTGGCACGTGGTGTTGGGGGCTGGGAGGGGCGTTGATAGCGGACAGGCAACAGACAGGGGAGAGAGAGGGCGGAAGAGAGGGACGAGCATCGGAACTCGTTCACAGCCGCCCGCCTCGCTCTCTGCACCTCCTCTGCTAGCCCCAGGCGCTGGCACGTGGTGTTTGACTTTTGAGTCGACTCAAAAGTCACCCCAGGCGCTGGCACGTGGTGTTGGGGGCTGGGGGGTGGAGGAGGGCCGGAGGGGAGGGGGACGGAGGCGGGAGGAGAAGGGGAGGGGTAGTGGGTGAGGGGGACGAGGGTAACTCGTTCACTGCCGCCCGCCTTGCCCTCTGCACCTCTGCTGCCAAGCCAAGGCACTGGTGTGAGCAAGGATGAGATGAAAGAGGGGGAACGAAAGATGGGGAAGATAGAGGGGGACGAGAGAGGAGACGGAGGGGAGAGCATCGAAACTTGTTCACTACTGCGGAGACGGAGGGGAGCCTAACTTGTTCCACCTCGGTTTCTAAAGAAAGGAGCTGCGGAGCGATGCGAAACAGGCAGGCTGCATGACCTCTTCATACACTGCATGCTCGAAACACCGCCAACCCCCCTCCACCCCTTTTTCCTCACCTTCCTCCTCGCCCTCGTCTCCCCATCCGTCGCTCTCCCCCTGCACACTCTTGAGCAGCCCATACGCAGCGCGCACCACCTCCTGTGTGCCCTGCCCCGTCACAGCACTCATGCTCAGTACCACAGGACCCCTCCTCCCCTCTCCTTCCCCCTCCCCTTCCCCTTCCGCCCCTCCCCACCACGCCCCGTTCTCCTCCCCTTCCCCTCCCAGCCCCAGCTCCCGCACGGCTTCCTGGAAGCTTCCCCACTGGTGCTGCGCGTCTGGCAAGTCCATCTTATTAAAGACAATGACCCGCGGCTTGGCGGCGAGAGAGGGAGAGAAGAGGGCTAGTTCTCTGGTGACTGCCTGGAGCTCTAGGTAGGGTTGTGGGCTGCTACCGTCAATGACATGAATCTGGAAGGGGGAGAGGGGGAGAGGGCGGGGGCAACATCTTGTTGAAGACACACGGCTTGGCAGCTAGAGAGGGAGAGAAGAGGGCGAGTTCCCTGGTGACTGCTTGGAGCTCTAGGTAAGGCTGGGGGCTGCTGCCGTCAATGACATGAATCTGGGAGTACGGACGAGGAGATGGGGAGATGGCACGGGGGATAGAGTGAGAGAGAGCATGGGAGAAGGCGTGAGAGAGTGCAAGGGGCACTGGTGCTGCGCGTCTGGCAGGCCCATCTTGTTAAAGTGGATGACACGTGGCTTGGCAGCGAGGGAGGGCGCGATGTAAGCTTCGAGACGTCTCAAAACTTCACCTATTACACGAGATGTAAGCCGGCTCTGTTCTATCACTCGCCACCACCAGCACTCTACAGCGGTCGGTGTGTCTCAGGAACTGGTGGCCCAGCCCTCGCCCCACATGTGCCCCCCAGCAGCCCAGGCACGTCCGCCCACACCATACGCGCCCTCCTGCCCTGCAGCATGCATGCTGCCTGGCACTGCCACTCTCACCCGTGCCATCGTGCAACTCACCAGCACGCGGCAACGATCTGTGTGTCTCAGGAACTGGTGGCCCAGCCCTCGCCCCACGTGCGCTCCCTCCAGCAGCCCAGGCACGTCCGCCCACACCATGCTGTCAAACCCGCCTGGCACCGCCACCACTCCCAGATTGGGGACCAGAGTGGTGAATGGGTAGTTGGCCACCTGGGGGGGGGCGAGCGAAGGGAAGAGGTAGATGAGAAGAGAAGAGGAGAGACGAAAGAAGGGGAGCGATGAAAGCGGTGAGGGAGTAGGGAAGAGGAGGGGCACATTGCCTCTTGCAGCTCTGTCACTAGCATGGTGAGCAGGTAGACCGAAACATGTATCCGTAACTATCAAACAAACACAATCAGGTGATTGATCTCACCTTGGGGCGGGCGGCAGAGATGGCGGCGAGCAGCGTCGACTTGCCCGCATTTGGTGCGCCCACGATGCCCACATCCGCCACCACCCGCAGCTCCAGCTGCACCCACCTGGGGAGAAATAGAGAGAGGGGGGGAGTGAGCGGGAAGAGGAAGAGAGAGAGGGTAATGCATCAATTATCCAGACCGTTGGGCGCATGTGCAGCTGCACCCACCCGTGGGAAAGGAGGGAAGGGCAGGAGAAGGGGGGAGTAGCAAGGGGTACGGGTGGCGTGAGAAAGGGTCCATGATACCCACCCTGCCCTGCCACCACTCGCAGCTCCAGCTGCGCCCTCAACCCCTCACCCTGTAGTACCTTCAACCTCAACCCCTATCCCCCCCCCTCCACCCACCTCCTCCACTACTCCTTCCCCCAGCGCACTCACATTTCTGGCCCCTCCTCCCCCTTTTCCGCGATCTGGGGCGCATTGGTCCGCCCAGTCTTGAACGCCGCGTTCCCCCGCCCGCCCCTCCCCCCCGCCAGCAGCACCTCGCTCTGCCCCGCGCGCACCAGCTCCAGCAGCGCGCGCCCCTCCCCCTCCCCTTCCCCCCCCTGCGCCCCCTCCGCCTCCCCCTCCCCTTCCACCCACTCCTCTCCACCTTTCTTCACCCCCCAGTCCCGCACAGGCCCCCTCCCCACCACCTCGCGGACAATAGTCCCGGGGGGGACTTTAATCTCCACATCCCGGCCCGCCTCGCCATGCCTATTACTCCCCTTCCCGTGCGCCCCGCGCGTCGCCCTGAAATGCACCGACCGGCGGAACGGCAGGAGGGAATTCAGCGCCGGGTCGGCAGTAATGATTACGTTGCCGCCCCGCCCTCCGTTGCCGCCCGACGGCCCGCCGTCCGGAACAAACTTCTCCCGGCGGAACGCCACGATTCCGTCGCCGCCGTCGCCGGCCTTAATGAAAACCCTCGCCGTGTCGAAGCATCGCATCACTGCTGGTAACCCTCTTCGCTCCGCATCTGATCCTGGTGATGATGATGCGTCATTGCCTTCCCATCCCTCCTCGTCCTTCCCTTCCAGCCACCGCATCTCCTCTCGCAGCCGCCTCTGCTCTTTCCTCCTCAAATGCGACAAATCATCCTCGTCCTCTTCTTCTTCCTCCTCTTCCTTTCCCTCTCCCTCCCCCTCCTCTCCCCCCACTATTTCGTCGAGAACCCGTCCGGAATCGCTCTCGTCTCTCACACTCACTGCTGCCGCCTTCTTTTCTCCGATCGACCCTGCGGGTTCAGCCGCAAAACCCCGAGGTTCGGGGTTTTTCTGTCCCCTAAGCCCTTCCGCCGCTGCCTGCGCCCCCTCCCGCGCCTTGGCTTTCGCCAGTTCCCTCTCCATCTCCGCAAGCTGCCTCCGCAGCGCCGCAATTTCCCCCTCCATGTCCGCCACCGCTCCCCCCGCTTCTTCCCCCGCGCCCTTACCCGCCTCCGTCACTTCCCCGCGCGCCGCTTCCCCCGCGCCCCTCTCCCGCCCCGCCTCCGCGCCGATCTCCCCGTCTTCCTGCAGCCAATCATTGTCCACCATACGACCCGCCGCGGGCGCAACTCCCGCCAATTTCTCCGCCTCCAGTTGCGCGATTTCGCGCTCCGCCTCTAGAAGCAGCTCCCGCTCCTCCTCCTCCGTCATCGGGGGTAAATCACCCTCCCACAACTCTACCCTCACATCTTCGTCCTCTCCCTCCTCTTCCTCCTCCCAATCCTCATCCCACTCCTCTTCCTCTTCCTCTTCCTCTTCCTCTTCCTCCTCCTCCTCCTGCTCCTCTTCTACGCCAGCAGCAGGCTTGCCTGTCACTACCCCTACGTTATCTTCCTCAATAACGATTTCTGCAGTTTTGAGAACAGCGGCCGACGCGGCGGCTGATGCGGCGACTGCCGCGGCGACAGAAGCGGCACCTGCATTGTCAAGCTCTTGCTTGTTGTCAGCACGTAAACCCCTTGTTGATCTGCTTCTTGTCGCCACGTCAGAACCTTCCCCGTCCACGTCATCCTCACGGCGACCTAATGCAGCTACAGTTGTGCCACTGGCCCACGAAAAGTCCGGCTCCGACGCCGCTGACGTGGCATCCCATGACTCGCCATTCGTCCGGGAAACGCGTTTCTCAGTCCTTTTCGGCTGCTTGGTTCGCGTCGCTGAATTCTTCCTCGCTTTAGACGTTTTCGCTGTAACATTAAGAGCTCTACGCCTGACGCAGCACCATTCACCTGTGTTCGTTACAAATCGTCCTGTTAGCGCTGTAGGGAGCGACGGCAGGAACAGAAGACCGGAATTCCGAGAACTTAAGGACGGATCCAGAACCACGTGGCGCGTAGGATGCGGAACAGCAACGAGTTGCCGGCACAGCGCCATGACCCACGCTTTACCAGTGACAATGATAACAACGGACGAAAGGTCTAACAGAAACTTCAGAAGGATCCTAAAGAGAGGCGACAGTGGGTTGTACTTGAATCATGACCGAGTGATGTCTTCGAATTTCCACTCAACAGCAGATGGAGGAAATGCTTGGCTTGGTGGGGATGGGGGATGGATGTGTCTTGTCTTGAGATTGCCATGAATATCCCACGAGGATGACTGCGCTTTTGAAAAAGGCGCACCGACGTGGAGCTGATGTGGCTGCGCGAGTGTCGTCCAGTATTCTCGTTATGTGAGTACGGCAAATAATGTGCAGCTCGTACTATAATAAGGCGTACAACATACTATGCTATTATACAGATTCAATTCCTACTATATGTGATTCTTCCTTGTCATTTACAATATTCTGGGGTGCTGTTCCGAGTCTATCCTTGGGAAAGAAGCACATAGTGTCACTCGCATTCTTGCACTGAAATAGATACGCTTGATCATAGTGGAACGACCTGCAAGAAAGAGCAGGATAACAAGGTGAGATGCTCGTTCGGCTGGCAAGCGCTTGGTGTATGCTTGTTCGACGCTCCATGATAGGCGCAAACATGCATTAAAAAAAAACGACCCACCCACCAACCAACCAGTACTTACCCTTCTTTTCCGGTAAACACAGGGTCATAGTTGTATATCAAATAGCGGTACAGCTCTCGTCTTGATCGTGGCTTGTGGCCGGACTTGCGGGCCTCACTACAGGATTCACGAGAGCAAGAGGGATTTGAATAAGAGGTCAATGTGCGCTACCAGTGTATTGCACCGTGGGCGAATGTTAGGATGTGGCTGCTTGCGGATGTTGGTAAATTTCATGCCTTGTTTGCAGCATTCCATGCATGCGGGGGCAACAAGCATCTGGCTGGCAGGAGGGCAAAAAGACCATGAAAGATGCGACATGGGGCAGATGTGGGGCAGCGAAGGGCAGTGAAGGGGCAGGAAAAGGCAGTGAAGGGGCAGGAAGGGGGCGAGAACATCAGAAGTAGCAGCGGAGAGATGCAGCGGGTAGAAATTGGGCAAGGAAGGGCAGGAAAGGGTTGAAAATAACAACAGAGGAAGAGGAGCAGTGAGGCTCACCTGGCAAAGAATGTGCCGGCAGCATGTGTGATCTGCACAGCATCAGAGGAGTGCGGGAAAATGGGGTTGCCCCACTCGTACGCATTCTTCTGCAGATACAGTAACAGAAAGTAGAGGAGGGGAAGGGGGAGGAGCGCAGGGACAGTCGGTTGTTGTCGTAGTGTGTGCATGCAAGGACACGTAAGAACGCCAGGAAGCGAGCGAGGGACACAAACGCCACCAACAGGCACAGAAGCTGCGCCCAGGTGGGAGCGATACTAGGAGAATGTGGGGGGTGCATGATCTCGCGGGGTGCCACTGTAGAGCAGTGAAGGGGTATGGCTTGGATCTCACAGTTAAGTGTGGGTGCATGTTTACGGCACCTAGAGGGGCATTCCTACAGAACCACGTGTGGGTGCACAGCAGCATTCCTACAGTACCTCGGGGTGCCACTGTAGGGCAGTGAAGGGGTATCGCTTGGCCTCCACCGTTGATATGTACTCCTGGCATTGGAATCAAATGAGATGGGGGGAAGGTGGAATGATGGAAAGATAAAACAGGGGAGCATGGTGATAGGTAGTATTGATAGGGAGGGCGATGGGCATACGTCTTTTTAAGGTTACCATGTGACAGTAACGAGAGGGATATGGGAGCATGGGAGACATACAGGGCCAATAGGAGAATGGGCAAGAGGGAGGCATGAGCAATCAGGTTGCCAGCAGCGTCATTTCCACCCCAACCTTGCCACCACCAACACTCACCCTGCCATTGTCACAACCACCACCACCACCACCAACACTCACCCTGCCATTGTCACAACCACCACCACCACCACCACCACCACCACCACCACCACCAGCACCACCACCACCACCACCACCACCACCACCACCACCACCAGCACACGCACCTTGCCGTCGTCATCAGCAGTGGTGGTGAGGATGTTGAAGAAGGACGAGAGACCCTCATCAGCGTTGAATGTCTCGGGAGTCAACCCATACTGCCACGTGCACGTGGGGGCATGCAGGGGTCAAAGCAGTAAGACTCGAAATCGTGTGCTGCCAGGGAGTAAACCCACTGGACGCAAGACCCTCATCAGCGTTGAATGTCTCGGGAGTCAAGTCAACCCGTACTGCCATGTGCACGTGGGGCACATGAGGGTCAACTCAAACAACATATCAGCGCTGGCAGCCTGGCAGTCTAGCCAAGATCAGCACTCCTCGCCTCGCATGTGGACTTTACAAAAGCTACGGAGTCGACTCAAAAGAAACAGGAGCTGCACGCAGCATACCTTGTTGAACCACAGGAAACAGATAATGCCATCTTTCAGTACCAGGTTTTGGATAAACCCTCTCCCAAAAACCTTGTGGTTGTCCGGTGGCAAAATGTCAGGCACAGAAACATACCTTGTGATTCTCCATTGTCAGGTTTTCTTTCTCCAGCCGATCCACCAGTCTTCGACGCATCCTGTAAGGAACGAAACAGCGTGATGATGAGAGCCTATGACAAGCGAATGTGATGTGTGCTGCAGCTTCCATCAGAATTTGATGAACAGCTAGTATGAAATCTTATCCAGACGTGTAAGTACACGCCTTTAACATGCAGACGAGCAACCCACCATCAGGCACGCAACCCACCATCAGGCACGCAACCCACCATCAGGCACGCAACCCACCATGCGAACATGTTTCTGTCCTTGGCCCATTCTCCCACGAATTGCAGCGTGCTGGGCCTCTTGGCGTTGGTAGGCTCCAACACCTTGCGACCTCCCTGCACCGCATCGGACCCATCCAAACACCCCGCATTGCAGCATGTGTATCATGTGACATGCATTGCGTCTGACACAAGTGTAACATCTATTGTACCAGACACATGCACTACGTATTCATAACATGGATCGTGTATGACGTGACATGCATTGTATATGACGAAGGGCAAGGCAACAGAGGTGGGAAATGGCGGCGGTTAGAAGTGGTAGCACGTAAATCGGCCAGTGAAGGTGGACAATTTGGGCCACCCACCCAGTGTAAAAAGGGTAATCACCAGAATCACCCACCGTGCTGAGAATGATGGTGAGCATCTCGAAGCTGAGGCACTCGGCATAAATAGGGAAATAGTCGCCATTGTCGTTAAATGACATGGCCATCTGCAGGGAGGCACGCATGCACGCAGCACACACACATTTACAGTTTGAAAGGCATGGGAATGAGGAATTCGAACATGGACCAGCACTGCATCTTGGTCCTTCTGTGACCTCACAAGCACACATCCTGTCGTGCGTGGTATGACATGCTATCCCACACCCTGCCATACCAACCCAGGCGAACCCATCCCATCCCAAGCCAATCCATCCCATCCCATCCAACCGCACGCCATCGCATCCATTCCCAATCTATTCCATCCATCCCATCTCAACCTTCCCTCCAGCTCGCCCTTTTTGCAAGCCCACCTTCAGCAACCGCCGCACGGTCCGAAGGAACCTTCCTCGCTTATTCGCGTCGCCTCCCGGCAGCACCAGCCCGTTCACCAGCCGGAGCTTCTTCAAAATCTGACGACGCGGCTCGTTGTAAATAATTGGCACAACTCTAGCGCCTCCGGCCTCAATGAATTTCACATAAGACGCTGCGATATAAGACAAGTTGGCGAAATGGTTCTCTTCCGTCGCGTTGAATACCCGTGCAATCTCGCCGCTGTCCGCAATTCCGGGCTGCGAGAGAACGCCAATCAACGGCTGATATGTCACGGGTTCCGCATCGCCGTTGAACACATCGCTGGGTGGCCGATTATCCCGACCGTTGCTCTGAGGACCTTCGGAAAGAGGAGCTTCGGAACGACGACGCTCATTGTTCCTAGTGTCTGTCCTTCGAGTACCAGCACTGCTGTCTACATCGTCATCGAAAGCCTTGTGTCGATAAGCGGCTGTCATTGTTGCTCTGGCATTGTGATGTTGACCATTCGAAAGACGGCTATTTGGAGGTTGGTTATCCTCATTGCTTCTGTCTCGATTTTTCGGCTTTGTCGGCCAGGAATTATAATCATGGGAATAAGCAGGATGGACTGCTGCTGGGGCTACGATAAGCACACAGGCTAATAAAAGCACTGTCTTGCGAGCTTTCCAGTCCATGTATATAATCTGATTGCATAGGCTGCAGCTGGGCTTGCTACGTAATTCTTTCGCACAAACTATCTAACTATCTAATTCTGACGTTGTCACACTGACGATTAAACAGCCGAGTCGAACCTAGTCCCGAGCAAGTCACACTTGCTTATGCGTAACCAGCAACCTAGGCAATCGAAGAACAAGGTGCTGCTTTTCTGACCGTTGGAGTTCTCAAGGCACAGGGAATGGCGATTGGGGTGAAAAATGCGCTCCCACAGGTGTCTCGACTCTCGAGGTTCCCCTCTCCCGCCTAAGCGCTTGGTGAGGGGAGGGAGGGGAGGGATACTGTACTGAGGGGTACTTTACGGGAAGGCATGGCGGGAATTGGCGCAGAGATTCAACAGCTCCCATCCCATTCCACCCCATTCAGGCATAATGGAACCAGCGCCGGACCTCTCAACGAGGCTTGAGAATCTGTGTCGAGATTGGCTGATAATATGGCGGCGCAGCACCGCACCATTCGAATTCCGCCAGGTCCCGCAAGTGTTCTAATATGGAGGTCAAATTCGCGCGAAGTCCCTGGCCCCACCTGGCGCGTGACTGTGCTTTTCCGTTTCTTCTCCGCGCGTAGAGCAGTAACCAAGTGTTGATCGCCACGTCATTAGGGCGTGTGTCCTTCGGCAAATTTTGTAAAGTTTGTTTTTTAAACTCGACTTTTCTCACTTGAACTTGGTTCGAACTATAGTAGAATTTTACAGCTTCCCATGGTCTTGCCGCGAGTCACCTTTCAAGGCAATCACATGTCACATCGAAGGGTCGACCATCAAAAGTCGACCTTTACAACCTAGCTCGCGTCGTGCATAGACTCGTAGGTTACTCTGTTTGCCATCTTGACCGTGCGCCACGTCTGATTCGATGGCGCACTGTGAAACCTGCGTATGATTCGATAGCGCACACGATGGCATTCGCCAGCGTCGCCATTTTCGCTGCAGCTGCAAATGTGGGCAGAAGGACACACGTTTGCATGAATGTGCGGGCGCACGTTCGAACGGAAACTCGACTCTGGTTCAGTGTCCATGTTTGGTTCCATCTTTTCAACCTGTTTTGGCGAAATTCGCAACCCAGTACGGCGAGATTAACGAAATGAGTTCGAACTTGTTTTTGAACTTAGCCTGCCAAGGACACACGCCCTTAGCTCCTCATTCAGGGTTGGTCTTTCTTCCCATGTGTTATGAGTTGCACTAAGAAGAGTGCGCGGAAGACTTTATAAAAAGGATGAGAATTACAGAGTGTCCAGAATGATAAAGAGGCATGCATTTATAGGGTCGAAACCGTGGTAGGCGAGGACCTCGGGACGTGGATGGTTTGGAAGTGTCGCGATTGGTGCGGGGCGACTCGGCAGTGGTTCGGTCCGAAGTGTAGGCCGAACCTCGAAACTGACGCGAAATGCTCGGGGTTGTCCTTGCTAGGAGCAGCCTCTACAGTAATGAATTCATATTCATTACACTCTCCCACCTTCTAAATAAGGTGCCCTTATACGTAGGCAAGTCTTGCAGTAGCGTGAAAACTGCAGATCTCGGTCGAAACTGATCTGACGGCGCGGAAGCATGTTGACTTTCGAGTTGACGCGAGGCTGACCAGTTGACTTGGCGAATTTGAAAAGAGTTGGAAGGTCAGCCATCGATCCTGATCGAATGGTTGTCGTTGAACTGTCGAACTGAAATCCGCGGATGAATGGGAGTCGTTGATGCCGCGGATGTAAATCGGACGGTACGAACGCTGGCGAAGTTGGCGAGATTCTGACACGCTGTCAGATGTCGGTCAATCGTAAAACCGTTGATGTTGATAAAACCATCGCGAGCGTCCGTCATGCTGAGTTTGTCAGGCGAAGCTGTCAGGAACTGACAAGGGAATACAGTGCGATAGCACTCTCTCCCCTCCCCTTTGAATATACTGCCCACCAAAAGTCTGCTCAGCTGCACGGGCACGAAATTACAAATCACCCTGTACGCCGGGTGTAGGAAATCATACCGAGTGTATGAACCCCGTTGAAATGTTAGCGGCTGCACAGTCGAGAACGTTGTCGGTGGTGAAATACCGCTGCTGAAAACACTGAAAAAATACTATGGGTAAACTCCGGCGAAGCCCGTCGAAGAAATCCCGCGATGAAAATCTTCTTGCTGTCCTTTTGTTGCGACTGCTGCAGCAGCATCCTCGGCTGGCAGCATCTGCAGCCCGAAATTCCGTCCGTGGTCTCATTGCAGTGGCAGGCTCAAGTTTCTCGATTCTGCAGCATTGTCAGCTGTCAGCAGCTGCCACCCGAATATCACGTGTTGTCCTTTTGTCGGGTCTCAGCCGTTGCAGAACCGTCCGAAACTCCTTCGGTCGTGACCCTGGGTCGTTTTTGCTCGGCGTCGAGATGTCGCTGCGAAATCGCGAAGTCGTTGAAGCGCGGTTGCGACGATCGGCGGTAAGGTCGGGTCGAGTAACAACCGAAAACTTTACTTCACTTGAACCCATCGGACCCGTAATCAGGGTCATGTGACGTCAGCACCTCCGGCAGTCTTGTCGTAACTCGCCGAGGTGTTTGTCCCGATTCTCCGAAAACTCCCGGGCAGAGGCGAAAAACAGCTGTTGTTCCTCCCCCTGACCACCGAAATATTTTTTCAAACTCGAACTGGAATTGTCGATGACGTCAGCTACCTCGGCGACGTTGTCGTGACTCGCCGAAAACTTCGGGGCAGAGGCGAAAAAGCTTTCCTTCCTCCCCCCACCTGTTGCGATAATGTTCACCTATGTGGCGGCTGGTACCCCCGAAATTCCACAGATTTTGCCGCCAAGAAGTTCACCACGGCAGTTTCGCGCGCTTATCCCAGCGCCGCTGCAACTCCGCCGTTTTTTCAAAATTGTCGGCCGTCACCGCCGATTCTTGTAAAACCGATACCCGGTACTCTCCGTTGTCAAATGTTATATCTGCTACAATTTGTTTAGGCTGTAGTGGGGTAGTTACTATGGGGTACAATAAGTTTAGGGTTTCCTACTTGTACCCAACTCTTTCCTAGTGCAAACACACTTGTTCATTCTGACATGGTATCACGAGCCTAGGTTGCCACCTAGGACCGCTTACTCCTATGGGCCCACTATTCCGCTAGAAGCGCCCTCGTGCGCCCTACCTTACGTGCGCCCTCGTGCGCCTTTCTCTGCTCGTGCGCCCTCGTGCGCCCTACCTTACGTGCGCCCTCGTGCGCCTTTCTCTGCTCGTGCGCCCTCGTGCGCCTTTTCCTGCTAGTGCGCCCTCGCGCGCCCCGCCCTTTCGTTCTGCCCGCACGCCGTCCTGCAGCCCTTGCGCTGCCTACTGCTGCCCTAGGCCAGTGCGCCGCCCCTGCAAGCTAGTAGGGCCCTCGAGCCGCCCCTGCAGGTCCGTCAGGCCCCCGAGCCGCCTCTGCAGACCCGTCAGACCCCCGAGCCGCCTCTGCAGACCCGTCAGGCCCCCGAGCCGCCTCTGCAGGCCCGTCAGGCCCGTGAGCAGCCCCTGCAGGCCCGTCAGGTCGGCGCGCTGCCCCTGCCCGACCGCGCGCCCGCGCACAGCCTCTGCCCGACCGCGCGCCGCCCCTGCAGACCCTCGCCGCCCGCACGCAGCCTCTGCAGGCCCGTCAGGCCAGCGCGCGACCTTGTCAGGTCGCTGTCGCGGCCCCGTCAGGCCGCAATCGCGGCCCCGCCCTGCCGCCGACGCGGACGCGGCCCCGCCCTGCAGTGACGCGGCCCCGCCCTGCATTGACGCGGCCCCGCCCTGCAGTGACGCGGCCGCGCCCTCCTACTTCCGCGGCCGCGCCCAGCTGCCCGCCGCGCCGTCCTGCCCGCGGCGTCGCTCCTGCCCGCCGCGTCGCCCTGCCCGCCACGTCGCCCTGCCCGCGGAGTCGCCCCTGCCCGCCGCGTCGCCCTGCCCTACCCCGCGCCTGGAGCAGCCGCCCCTGGAGCAGCCGCCCCTGGAGCAGCCGCCCCTGGAGCAGCCGCCCCTGGAGCAGCCGCCCCTGGAGCAGCCGCCACTGCAGCAGCCGCCCCTGGCCCCTGGAGCAGCCGCCCCTGCAGCAGCCGCCCCTGGCCCCTGGAGCAGCCGCTCCTGCAGCCGCCCCTGGCCCCTGGAGCGGCCGCCCCTGCAGCAGCGGCCCCTGGCCACTAGAGCAGCCGCCACTGCAGGAGCTGCCCCTGGCCCCTGGAGCAGCCGCCCCTGCAGCAGCGACCGTCGCGGCCCTGTCCCAGCCCTGCACCAACTGCCGCGGAGCTTCCTGCCGCGGTCGCGGCCCCGCCCTGCCGCTGTAGCGGCCCCGCAGTCGCCTCCGTCGTGCGCCTGCCCTTCCCACCACTGGTGAGCACTGCCCTGCCCCTGCTCCTACTGCTACTGCTGCTCCTGCTGCTCCTGCTTCTACTACTGCTCCTGGCGTGGCCAGATGCAGCTCCAGGGCCGTCCGCGTGTGTCCCTCACGCCCCAACAGCTTTGTGAGTGGTACGCCAGTTGGGGTTGTCGGGGTGGCAGTAGTGGGAGTCGTCCTGGAGTGGGTAGTTCGGGAGCTTCTTGTAGTGGCCCTGTGCAGCAGCAGCGTCGTCCGCGCGAGACTCTTTCGCCCCAGCAGCTTCGTGAGTGGTACGCTCAGAGTAGAGGGTCGCTGAGTAGTGCTCGCTGCCCGTACGTTATTAGCACGGGTGTCCGGACTGGTCAGCCTTGCGGGACGCGTGGTCACACAGAGTCCCGCTGCTTCGCCCGTCTGAGCGACGCTTGGCGTACAGGGTTTGGCGACGACGCTGAGCTCCCCGACTGGGTGGAGCTA